TGTTGAAGCACCTTTGGCAGCGATTACAGCCTCAAGTCTCCTTGGGTATGACGCTACAAGCTTGGCACGCCTGTTTTTGGGGAGTTTCTCCCATTCCTCTATGCAGATCCTTTCAAGCTCTGTCAGGTTGGATGGGGAGCATTGCTGCATAGATATTTTCAGGTCTCTCCAGAGAGGTTAGATCGGGTTCAAGTCCGGGCTCTGGCTGGGCCACTCAAGGACATTCAGAGACTTGTCCCTAAGCCACTCCTGCGTTGTCTTGGCTGTGTGCTTAGGGTCGTTGTCCTGTTGGAAGGTGAACCTTTGTCCCAGCCTGAGGTCCTGAGCGCTCTGGAGCAGGTTTTCATCACATATCTCGCTGTACTTTGCCTTGATCTTGACTAGGCTCCCAGTCCCTGCAGCTGAAAAACATCCCCACAGCATGTTGATGCCACCACCATGCTTCACTGTAGGGATGGTGCCAGGTTTCTCCAGACGTGACGCTTGGCATTCAGGCCAAAGAGTTCAATCTTGGTTTCATCAGACCAGAGAATCTTGTTTCTCATGGTCTGAGAGTCCTTTAGGTGCCTTTTGGCAAACTCCAAGCGGGCTGTCATGTGCCTTTTACTGAGGAGTGGCTTCCATCTGGCCACTCTACCATAAAGGCCTGATTGGTGGAGTGCTGCAGAGATGGTTGTCCTTCTGGAAGGTTCTCCCATCTACAGAGGAACTCTAGACCTCTGTCAGAGTGACCATTGGGTTCTTGGTCACCTCCCTGACCAAGGCCCTTCTCCCTCGATTGCTCAGTTTGCTGGGCGGCCAGCTCTTGGTGATTCCAAACTTCTTCCATTTAAGAATGATGGAAGCCACTGTGTTCTTGGGGACCTTCAATGCTGCAGAAATGTTTTGGTACCCTTCCCCAGATCTGTGCCTAGACACAATCCTCTCTCGGAGCTCTACGGACAATTCCTTCGACCTCATGGCTTGGTTTTTGCTCTGACGTGCACTGTCAACTGTGGGACCCTATATAGACAGGTGTGTGCCTTTCCAAATCATGTCCAATCAATTTAATTGTGAAGTATTACTGTTTTATTTTTAATAAATTTGCTAAAATTTCTAAAAACCTGTTTTCACTTTGGCATTATGCTGTATTGTGTGTAGATTGCTGAGAATTATTAATTTAAAAAACAATGTAAGAATAAGGCTGTAACGTAACAATGTGGAAAAAGTCAATACTTTCCAAAGGCACTGTAAGTGCTAAACTGCTAACAGACTATACACTGTAACATTACTGCATGATTGTTGCGAGTTTACTAACACGTTAGTTCTATTAGCTATGTTGACTATGACATCACTTTAGCTAATATGGTGACAACGATGTAGGCTGTATGTAGCGGTTATGATATGGTTTGTAAAGTTTTTTTTGCCTGGTCACATTCAGCTGATGAGTCCACAAGCGAAGGGAAAAGGTGAGAGGAGGAGAGCGCATAGATGCGAGAAGGAATACAATGTGGCTGCTATGAAAGTGAACTGTGTTTACACGTGATCAGGGGTGTATTCTTTCCGCCAATTCTGTTGAAAAATGTTTCTTAAACGGAACAAAACGGGGATAATCATACCTGAATTTGTCCAATAGAAACACTTGTTTGCAACTGTTGGACTAATGATTACACCCTAGATCAGCTAGATGCAGGCAAGAGTGTGCAAGGCAGTATTGAATGTGTCACTTTCTATCCATGCGTCAGTCTTTTCGCCTCAAATTTCTCTCGACCTGTGTGCACCTACGTTGTAAACCTTCATTCATAGGCTAGGTTGTAGCAACCTCATGATGGGTATAGGGGAAATTGTAGTAGCCTAAACCTATCGCTGTTACATTGAACTGGGTGAATGGAATATGAATGACAGTCATCCAATATTCTGTATAGAAATAAGGCCATGCTCCTGAAAACAAAAATCTTAAAACGACCGCCACTGCATTTAGCTTATTAAACACAAAAACTATGTTTCAAGTGAAAATAAGGCAGGTCTGATGCTGAAAAAGAAAGGAAATCTTTCCTAACTTACCCATATTTTGTTAGTTTTGCAACAACAAAAAGTAGTGTAGTTCCAGTAGCTAGGTACACCACTACATGGCAAAACAGTTATTAACTTTGAAAATACTACCAAGATTTTAATTTAGTTCAACTACCACCAAGCTACAGAAAATTTTAATTTAAAAAAGTTTAACTACATGTAGTTCACTACTCCCCATCACCGCTCATTAGCCAACAACACCACCACTCACTTACTCACATGAATACTGATAAACAAGTAGCTATGTGTGTTATCTTTACATTAAGGCTGTGCCGTGCTTGTGATCAAATAGGCGTTGTTTCATACCAGTCTTGAGCTATAGGGTAAGGGTTAGCCTAGCTTTGGGACACAACATCGGGAGTCTGTGCATTGGTTCCCAATGTTGTGTCCCAAAGCTAGGGTTAGCCCCAGTGGTGTAAAGTAACTAAGTAAAAATACTTTGAAGTACTACTTAAGTAGTTTTTTTTTGAGTATATGTAGTTAACTTTTTATATTTTTGACAACTTTTACTTCACTACATTCCTAAAGAAAATATGTATTTTTTACTCCCATACATTTTCCCCTGACATCCAAAAGTATTGGTTACATTTTTTTTTTTTGTTAGCTAGTGTCGGGGGAAAAAACATATCCTCTCCTTTCCTCTCACATCAAAGCAATGGCTAGTAGAGGGGGTGTATATCACAGTCGTCTGTCATCATGGCTAGCACAGTGTACCCCAGTTTACCTGTCACTTGATTCTAAATATAAACCGGGTGGTTCAAGCCCTGAATGCTGATTTGCTGAAAGCCATATATCAGCCCATACCACGGGTATGACAAAATAAATATTTGTACTGTTCTAATTACGTTGGTATCCAGTTTATAATAGCAATAAGGCGCCTCGGAGGTTTGTGGTATATGGCCAATATACCACGGCTAAGGCTAAGGTGCTGTATCCAGCCAGGTACTCCGCGTTGCGTCATGCAAAAGATGAACAGCCATTATCTGTGGTACATTGGCCATATACCACACACCCTCGGGCCTTATTGCTTAAATAAGCTCTGCCATCTAGCTAGCTACGCTATCTTAAACAAACTGGGGACATCTTGTCACTTACGTTACGTTAGCTAGCTGTGTCGAGGAGTGAGCAAACAACAACAAGGACCGAGCTACCTACTAACACTACCAGTCTTTTTGGTGTAGCTAGCTATAATGATCAGCTGTAAACTGCAAATAGGATAACCCCCTTGAAAATGTTTGACAATTTTACTTACCTTTGTAAAACAACATTTGATCAACGCCAGCGACGTGACATTAGGCAACACACATCAGACTGCAGCCCTAGCTGTCATTTGTTTTGTTCTAGGAAGGAACCGTTATCGCAATAATATTTGGTCACATGACTCCACCTTCTACGGAACGCAAAAAGGGGCCTAAATTCATGTTACCGAATCGTTTTGTGTCGTAAACATATTCTGATTTATAGTTAAAACCACTGAAATATGGAGTTTGTCTAACAGCATTTGTCCCAGTCAGAAACTCCATGCTCCTTCAGATGGTCCAAGTCTATGGGGTAGGTCTAATAGGCATTCAGTAGTCTTGAGTTTGAGTTCAAGCACACAAATTATATAGCAGACAGTAAAAGCGAAACGACGCCGGATTCAAAACTTAGAATTTTTCTACTTAAATTATTATATAAAATTCTTGCTACCGATATAATGTTATTTATATGGGGGATGCAATATTCCCAGCTCTGCAGATTTTGCTGCGGAAGAGACAGAATCATTAGATCATTTGTTTTGGTACTGTCCATTTGTAGCTTGTTTTTGGACACAGGTCCAGGAATGGCTAAAGGATTGCAATATTTACCTGGAGCTAACCCTGCAGATAGGCACTACTGGGTGATCTGAAAAGTCATAGTCAATCGATCAATGATATAATAATACTTTTAGCAAAAATGTTTATTTTCAATTTACAATCTGTAGAAACAATGAGAATAGAAGGGTTCAGAACTTTTGTAAAACATCACAGTACAGTTGAAAAATATATGGCAAATAGATATCCAATATGGATGGTGTTAAGAGATAGATGGGTGGTGTTGAATGGAGTTGAAGGATGGGACTAATAACAACTAACAACAACTAATAACAACAAGATAACTAATGTAAAGCATACTGTGTCCATAATAAGTATATAGGTTATAGATTGAGAGCTTTTGTGAAAGAGCACAGTTAGAAATATATGGCATATAGAAGCAAACCGGATGGACATCATGAAAATGATCGGAGAGGTTGAGGGTAGAGGAAGTTCATGAGTAAAAACAAACAAAATAGAATTATTGTAAAATTGACTGTGTCCATAAAATGTATATAGTATATATAAGCTGGAAGTAGAGGCCTAAGCATTGTTGTTCACTAGCTTACTCCAATTAGGGAAGGGGTGGTGGGGTTGGAAAGTAATAAAGGGAAATACATTTTTAAAAAGGATATGTGTATATATATATGTATGTATATGTATTTATATATGTGTATGTAAAATCACTGATGTCAGCTCATTCACAAGGCAACCTGATGTGTCTTGAATTTGACAGCAGCAATAAAGTAAACAGTTATCTGTGTGTAATGTTGAAGGCAGCCTGGCAGGGTCTCTGGTGACCTTTGACCTAGTCACCTGCTCAGTCCCTCTCATGATGAAGCTCCTCTGGTCTCTGTGGATCATCTGATTCAACCCACAGGTTTTCTGGTTGAATTAATCTCTCTACCACCAGGGACAACATTCACTTTTTATGTAAAAAGGCTTTGCTGGGTGGTTCAGATAGCTAGTGTGTAGTATGTATGGTGGTTCAGGGTTTCATGTGTGGATCAGGTGCTGTGTCTGGATGGTTAATGGTTCATAGTTTATGTGTGGTTCAGGTAGTTCATGTAGTTTGTGTGTGTGCGTGCGACTCATTGGTGGTGTATGTGTGGTTCAAGCTGATTCTTGTGAATCTGTGTGTGGTCCGTGTGTATCTGTGTGTGGTTGATGTGTGAATGCGTGACTCTGTGCCAGGCTAAGGATCTCCGTTTTTTCCTTGTAGAAGCGGAGTTCATTTCCATGACGCCTAGCCACGTCCAGTTCACTCTGTGCTGCTTGTAGCTCTGCCCTCAACTGCCTTGGAGTCTGCCGCTCCTGGCCCAGCCAATCCAGAGCCATGCTGCTGCGCATGCTGGCGTCCAGCCCTCGCTGAGAGTAATAACCAATCACACTCTGTGGGGGCAAAGAGTAACAACCAATCAATCGCCCCTGCTCTATAGATTTTTGTTTAGTCATTTAGCAGACGCTCTTATCCAGAGCGAATTACAGTTAGTGAGTGCATACATTATTTTATTTTTTATTTTTTTATACTGGTCCCCCGTGGGAATCGAACCCACAACCCTGGCGTTGCAAGCGCCATGCTCTACCAACTGAGCTACACGGGGCCCAGTTAACTTATACACTGAGTATACAAAACAAACAGGGTATGGTAATAGGTGCCAGGCGCACCGGTTTGTGTCAAGAGCTGGAACACTGCTGGGTTTTTCATGCTCAACAGTTTCCTGTGTGTATCAAGAATGGTACATCCAGCCAACTTGACACAACTGTGGGAAGCATTGGAGTCAACATGGGCCAGCATCCCTGTGGAATGCGTTTGACAACTTGTAGAGTCCATGGCCCGATGAATTGAGACTTTTCTGAGGGCAAAGGGGGGGGGGGGGGGGGATTAACTCAATATAAGGAAGGTTTGTTCTTAATGTTTGGTATACTCAGTGTATAATTGAATATCCAGGTGAGGGGCTTGCCTGGCGGGAACACTGTCTCTTCCTTAGAATCTTCAACGTCCCGTTCCAGTGTAACAACTGAAACACGGTCATCACCTCCTAGAGAGAGAGAGAGAGAGAGAGAGAGAGAGAGAGAGAGAGAGAGAGAGAGAGAGAGAGAGAGAGAGAGAGAGAGAGGTAAATATGGGAGAGAGGTAAATATGGGAGCAAGACCTGAACAATAACAGAACGGTGTGAAAGTTGACAAGTATGAATTGTGTAATTACGCAGGACAGGGATGATAGATGATCAGAATTTTTTTCTAATCCTTAATCAAACTGTGTGTGATTAGTTTGAAAAGTTACGTTAAACCTTTATGTTCCAAGCCTGTCTGCTGAAGCTGTGATTGAGAGCATTCTGTCTGGCTGGATGGCTGGATGGCTGCCATGTATCCATAGATGGTGTTATAAATGATAAGGGTAATTATCAGAAACAGATGGAACTAGTGCGATGAAACTTTGCTTTGAACAGGTGGTGGAGGTCAAAGAATAGGTTCAGCAAAAAGTAAAAAAAATACTAGGTATGAGATAATGTTTGCAGTGCAAGATTGAAATAATAATTAGACCAGCAAGGATATATTATAACATAACTAGCCTATAACATATTCCTATGATAATCCTGTCCTTACCTGGAACTCCAGCATGGTTCTGCCTGTGTATGACTGGAGCAGGAGACAATAGGTTCCTATACTGGTGCTAGGATCACAGGCATCCTCCACAGAGACCTGGACGCAACATGCAGTAACACAGTCAGTCAATACAAGAGAGCTTTTCATTATCAATAACTCAGGATATATTCTATCGTATCGATGCTGCCATGCTAATGCTTAGTCGTCGTGAGTCAGTCCTGTGCTAGAGTCAGTCCTGTGCTAGAGTTAGTCTTGTACTAGAGTCAGTCCTATGCTAGAGTCAGTCCTGTGCTAGAGTCAGTCCTGTGCTAGAGTTAGTCCTGTGCTAGAGTTAGTCTTGTGCTAAAGCCAGTCCTGTGCTAGAGTCAGTCCTGTGCTAGAGTTAGTCCTGTGCTAGTCAGTCTTGTGCTAGAGTCAGTCTTGTGCTAGAGTTAGTCTTGTGCTAGAGTCAGTCTTGTGCTAGAGTTAGTCCTGTGCTAGAGTCAGTCTTGTGCTAGAGTCAGTCTTGCGCTAGAGTTAGTCCTGTACTAGAGTTAGTCCTGTGCTAGAGTTAGTCTTGTGCTTGAGTCAGTCCTGTGCTAGAGTTAGTCCTGTGCTAGAGTCAGTCATGTGCTAAAGTCAGTCCTGTGCTAGAGTTAGTCTTGTGCTAGAGTTAGTCTTGTGCTAGAGTCAGTCCTGTGCTAGAGTCAGTCCTATGCTAGAGTCAGTCCTGTGCTAGAGTTAGTCTTGTGCTAGACTCACAGTGCTGGCTGAGGCAGCCTCCTGCAGGCTGTGTGTGATGAACTGAGGAGTGATTCGTCTAGACGGCAGCTCGTTCACTAGAGAGTTTATCAGAGCGACACGCGCCGCATCCCTACGAGCCTTCGCCTGGCTCTCACACTCCTACAGAGAAACAGAAAGAGGTGAGAGGTTGGGAGAGAGAGGAAGTGGAGAGAAAAGAGAGAGACATAAGTCCCTCTGTGTAAATTATATTTGCAGCTGATCACTGTTTGCATGAATATGATCAGACTGGAAAAGAAATGAAGGCGATCTAGGAAATGGCTCCGCTTTGGTTCGTTTCATGAGTTTCTTCAACATGTTTATGATAGTTTATAAGAGCAAATCATGGGATTAGCAATCAAATGTGGAATCAGATTCTGACATCAGAGGCAGATCTGAACCAATCAGAGAGCCTCTGGGAGGCTGCGTGAGCCACAATGAGCCCTTTGAAAAGCATAATGGGATTCCAGCTGAATAAAGTAATCAAAGCAGGCGGAGAGGCTGTGTGTGTGTGTGTATGTGTGTGTCTGTGCTTCGCAGGGTCTGACGGGTATAGATGAAGGACCTCTCTTTAGGGCTGTGCAGGAATGAGGCCCTCCGCACCCCATTCAGACCCACAGCAGGGCTCATTTAAACGGACGTCAGTGTGCTGCTCACAGTGTATCTTCCTACACTGACCCCGTCCCCATACCGAGCTCGAAGTGTCGAACCATTGATTCTCTGCACACAGACACACGTGACCACCCTCCTTGACAATGTACCAACTGTTTGAGCTATTGAAAAATATCTAATTCGATAGCTCCATCGGTGACATTTCAAGCTAGCTGTGGAGTGAGTTTACGATACCTTCTGAACTCTGTTACTCCTAACCCTTCTAAACTCGCTACACAGCGAGCTACCCCGGCCATTGAGCTGAGCCCAACTGCTGATCCGGGTCACCGCAGTGTGCTGCTCACAGTATATATTCCTCCACTGTGCCGTAATCTTACGGTACGTTCTTAACTCCGTTACATGAGCAGCACTCCTGTGTTTTCTCACTCACACTAATGACAGGGCACCGTTAAAGCAGTTCAGTGGTGGTCATTGGCTGTGCTATGGAAACACTGTCTCTACTCCATGGTGGGCTCCTGTCATTGGGCTAATGAGAAGAACCACCTGGCCCCCAACTCTTACCCCCACCTCTCGTCTACCGCCAACCCCAACCCTAACCCCAAACTTATCCAACCACTCCTACCCCTGCCCAAACCCTAACCCCTACCACCCCCTACCACCAACCCTACCCCCTCACCCCTACCCCTACCCCCAACAACCCTAGCTTTCCACCACATTGGAACTAGATAATGTTAGATGAGTAGTAATGGTTGAGGTGGGTTAGGTAGCTGTGGTCATGATGGTTATTATGGCAGTTACCATATAGTTTCCAAAGCAGCTTCCTCCAGGCAGAGTGACGTAGCAGATGTAAGGGGGTCCTGGGGAGGGGGCCGACTCATACAGCAACAAGCCCTCTGATTGGCTGACAGAGCCCTTCACCGAGTCCTCTGATTGGCTGACAGAGCCCTTCAACGAGTCCTCTGATTGGGTGTCGGAGCCCTTCACCTGTTTCTGCTCCCAGAAGTGATGCAACATGGCCACAACGTTCACTGAGGACACACACAAACACACACATAACTTTTTGGTGGCATTTGTGCTCATTTTGTATACACTTATGGGTAATGACCATTTAGAGAGTAAGTATGTGGAAATAATCAAAGTCTGCATATAGACCTGATGATTGTCACATCAAAAGAAATCTAAAAGATTCCACAGGGCTTTAGAACAAGCTACCTGTCAGGATGACAGACCATTTCAGAGATGTCCTGTGGCTGTGGTAGAAACACAATGAGGTATGAAGAGATTTAGGTATAAGGAGTCAGTCAGGGATTCAGGCAGTGGTGGAAAAAGTACACAATTGTCATACTTGAGTAAAAGTATAGATACCTTAATAGAAAGTTACTCAAGTAAAAGTGAAAGTCAGCCAGTAAAATACTACTTGAGTAAAAGTCTAAAAGTATTTGGTTTTAAATATAATTTAGTATCAAAAGTAAATGTAATTGAAAAAATATACTTAAGTATAAATACGGCACCATTTTGTTGTTTTTAAAATGTACGGATTGCCAGGGGCACACTTCAACACTCAGACATTATTTACAAAAGATGCATTTGTAAAAAGGATGACCACGTGTTCTCTTGATAAGTGTGTGAATTTAACAATTTTCCTGTCCTGCTATGCATTCAAAATGTAACGAGTACTTTTGTTTGTCAGGGAAAATGTATGGAGTAAAAAGTACAATATTTTCTTTAGGATTGTAGTGGAGTAAAAGTAAAAGTTGTAAAAAATATAAATAGTAAAGTAAAGTACAGATACCTAAAAAAACGACTTAAGTAGTACTTGAAAGTATTTATACCTAAGTACTTTACACCACTGCCAATTGGGGAGAAAAAGGGGTAAAAAGTACTAAAAAAATAATTTTTCAAAGTACATTATTTTCTTTAGGAATGTAGTGAAGTAAAAGTTGTCAAAAATATAAATAGTAAAGTACAGATACCCCAAAAACTACTTAGGTAGTACTTTAAAGTATTTTTACCTAAGTACTTTACACCACTGGGTTCAGGGGACAAGAAGTCAGGGTGATTTAGAGTTTCAATAATGACAGAGATCGAGGGCCCAGAACAATACAATAGGAAGTCAGCTAGACTCAGCATCACAAAGCTACTCTACAGAATCTCTGTCTGACTTAATAAGGGTATGAAGTGGACACTTGGAATGGACTGTAGACCTTTTTCTCTTAATCAATGCAGAGACAGCCCATCCGAACCTTGTTTAACTTCTGATAATATCTACCGTCTGTCTATAGCCATGGCCACACAAGTTATACACCTATTCCTTCACTCTCAATGTGTGTGTGTGTATGTCTCTGTAACTGAACATTCCCAGACTGAGTTTGTTTGAGCTGAATTAGAAACAGGGGGTACCACCCAACCACTCATCTCTAACCCTCCCAACCAAGGCTGCAGAGTGGGCTTCAGGTCATGAAGGGCTAGCCATGCAGCCCGATGAACAAGAACAAGCTTACCTTTGAGTGCAGACATTTTACTAAAATCAAATATGTTTTCATTTAATTGTGCTTGTAGGTCAATACAGTGGAAAATCTCCACTCAACACTGCGTACATCCAATCAAATCAAAAGTATTTGTATCAGAATCAATGTCATGTTCTTTACTGTGTGCATGTATGGCTGAAACAGTAAATAAAGGAACATGACCATTCTATCTCGGTAAACAAGCATCTAATAAATCAGCCTTTTCAACTATGCTTTCCCATACCCACATTATTCCTGTGATAGAAAGCAATTCAATTGAGATTTCCCTGGCCCTATGTCTGTGTGCTTTGAGTGACTATATAAATGCCTGTATTAAACAGCCATATGCAACACCGGAAGCATGATCTGAGTATGGCCATCACACTGACTCAACTGCAGGTGACACTCATCAGTTACATGCTCAAGCCCAGACGTCTGAGAATTATGTGTGTGTGTGTCTGTCTCCATGTGTGTGTCTCTGTGTATGGATAGTTACTCACAGTCCTTGAGGCTGGTACCGTAGTCACTTGGGGACAGAAGGTGTGATATCATGATATCGGATGGAAAATCCCAAATTTGGCTCATCCTTTTCAACCTCAGTCTTCTGGCACACTCAGCCCAGTTCACGCACTGGCTCAAACTCGCTCACACACACTTAGTCCAGCTAAAACACACACTCACACATGCTTAGTCTAGTTCAAAACACGCTCCATGGAGAGATCAGCAAGCAGTGGGAAACTACTCCAAACACAACTCCACTCAAGAATTTTGAAATGAAAGAGGATAAAGAATGCACTTCCCCTTAACACCCCTTTTCTCTCTCCTCCCCCGTCTCTCTCCCTCTCTCGTGTGAAGCCCTTCCCAGGGGTTCTCCTCTGTAGCGCTCCACCTTTGTCACTAGCCCTGCTAATTAGCCCCCCTCACACGCACACGCTGAGGCCTGCTGTTGGTATGCAGCCCCCTGCCCCGCCCCCTCTCCTCTGCAGCTGCCTAATCCCAGTGGTCAGACAGACAGAGACTATAGGGCTCTATAGGGAGTCACTGTATAGCCCCTCTCTACTTCTCACAGCCACACATGGTCTAGGTCACACCCTGAACGTACCAGGGCCGTTGGCAGCAGGGATCCTAATGGACAGAACAGTCCCACATCTCTGACTGGGTCTCTCTGTCGATGAAATGTGCTCTGGCTTCTTATAGTAAAATGTGCCATTAGACCAACCAATATTAATAACACCCATCCAAATCCCTAACCCCCCAGCCCACAGCCAAATACCAACTAACCCACATCCTCAGAGGAATGGTGTGTAACTGTGTGAGTGGGCAGGCGGGATGGAGCCATGCTGTTGACTGCAGACTCTTGTGCATCCAGGGCCTGAGCTCCATTCAGACTATGTATGAATGGCCATTGTTCAGATTGTTCAGCCACTCCATCAGAGCCTCTTACAGATTAATGAACTCACTATCACAGAGTGGATTCTCAGTCCCCAAGACTTCCATTTTCAGGTTGTGTGTGCATGTGTGTGTACTTGTGTTGCCTGGCCCTGTAGAGCTCATTGGATCTTGAGAGGGTGGATGTACACTACCGTTCAAAAGTTTGGGGTCACTTAGAAATGTCCTTGTTTTTCGAAAGAAAAGCAAATTTTTTGTCCATTAAAATAACATCAAATTGATCAGAAATACAGTGTAGACATTGTAAATGTTGTAAATGGCTATTGTAGCTGGAAACGGCTGATTTTTAATGGAATATCTACATAGGCGTACAGAGGCCCATATCAGCAACCCTCAGTCCTGTGTTCCAATGGCACGTTGTTTGCTAATCCAAGTTTATCATTTTAAAAGGATAATTGATCATTAGAAAACCCTTTTGCAATTATGTTAGCACAGCTAGAAACTGTTGTGCTGATTAAAGAAGCAATAAAACTGGCTTTCTTGAGACTAGTTGAGTGTCAAGGACATTTCTAAGTGACCCCAAACTTTTGAACGGTAGTGTGTGTCTTCAAGTGTGTATGTTCTGTTCACATGAGTGTGTGTCTGACCCTACGGTCTATATGGGGTGAATGTGTGTGAATGTCATCCATTGAAAAGCCTGTTTCATTGTCAGAGACCCTGGGACTAGAGGAGAGTTTAGCACAAGTAACCAGCCCCCCTAAAACACACACACAAGACTGCATTCCACAGCCACAGAGAACCGCCAGTGTACAACCATTGACACACACCATTCTGAAGACTTCTGCAGTGAATGACACAAGTACTCCTTACAAGGTAAAGCACCTTTAGCACATGGAAAAGTACTCTCTATGCAATCCAATACTTTTACCAGCCATTTCTCTGTCTGCAAATCAATATTTGTTTGGAGGATATAAGCAATATGGCCACCCATTCTAAATGCCCGTTCAACAAAACACAGTGAACACCGGCTCTTTCCATGACACAGACTGACCAGGTGAATCCAGGTGAAAGCTAATATCCTTTATTGATGTCACTTGTTAAATCCACTTCAAATTAGTGTAGATGAAGGGGAGGAGACAGGTTAAAGAAGGATTAACACAAGTAACCAGGATTTTTAAGCTTTGAGACAATTGAGACATGGATTGTGTATGTGTGCCATTCAGAGGATAAATGGGCAAGACAAAATATTTAAATGCCTTTGAACAGGGTATGGTAGTAGGTGCCAGGCACACTGGTTTGAGTGTCAAGAACTGCAACACTGCTGGGTTTTTCCGCACTCAACAGTTTCCCGTGTGTATCAAGAATGGTCCACCACCCAAAGGACATCCAGCCAACTTGACAACTATGGGAAGCATTGGAGTCAACATGGGCCAGCATCCCTGTGGAACGCTTTCGACAGCTCGTAGAGGCTGTTCTGATGGCAAAAAAGGGGTGCAACTCAATATTAGGAAGGTGTTCCTAATGTTTTGTGCACTCAGCGTATATTGTGATCACACACCTGGACTCATTGTCATCATATTAAAGTTGTCTTTATTGAAAGTATTCACACTGCAGTAGATACAAAGCAGGACAGTTCAACACTGGGGGCTCGTCGCTGGGAGAGAGGCCTTCTTCCAATGTGTCCCTTTCCTCTCCAATGTGGTTCATGTTCTCATCATGTTCTGTTGTCCTTGTGACCAGGTTCTCACACACACACACTTGACTCACACTCAATCACACACGCACGTCCCTCTCAGCCCCAGAAGCCATCAGTCTCCAGACTAGATTTGATGTTACTCTGATTCTCTCTCCTCTCCGCTGTGACCAGGTTAGATTCTCCCTTCATCAGTCGTCTCCTCTGAGCTGCTTTCTGCTGCTTACTCAGCTGTCTCCTCACCTTCGCACGAACCACCTCCTACAACACAACAATACATACATTAGTGGAGGGATCGCGTGTGAGTGTGTGACCATGTCAGCGTATGCATGTTTAATCATGTAGGAGTGTGTGTGTACTGACCGGTGGTATAGTAGAGCAGCTCCCTACACTGCCGGCGGTAGCCTCACTGTCCGTCCTCCTCCTGCTGTGTTCAACCACATGGAGCAGGCTGTCTGAGTCTCTGTGGAGGAGAGATCATTGGACTTTAACATGATCACCAAGGAAAGGAAACATATGTCAGATGTGACTCGTGGTGGAGAATGACACATTTGAAAGAGACATTGACATACATTAACACTCTACAGGAGATTTAAAGAGGTGGAAATGTGAAGAGGAGAGAGACGTGGGTGTGTGAAGAGATATGGAGTTGTGTGTAGAAGTGTGTGTGATCTGTACCTGAAAGGTTTGAACTCTCTGTTGGAGGAGGAGAGGTCGACCAGCTCAGGACACACATCCTCTTCCTCCTTTTCTCTCGCTTCATCAAGACCACCCATCACAACAGCCTCTGGATCAGTCTCTCTCGGTTCTCCTCCCTCCTCGTCTCCTGTCTCAGTGTGTGTCTCTGTCTGTGTGTCGCTGACTTTGAGCCCCTCCAGTTCCAATATAGCATGCCTATACTCCTCCATGTCCATAGTCTTCTCCATTTCCTCCTCCTCCTCCTCCTCTTCCTCTCCCTCGTCGTCGTCGTCATCCTCTCCATCTGGTCCTTCAGGATCGAGCAGGGCTGCGTCTCTCTCAAAGTCTTTGGTGAAGCCGCTGGCTGAGATCTCCACGTCCAGAGAACAGGAACGTCTAGAGGACAAACACAGGGTGAGTCCCATTCACACACTACCTCCCTCCCCTCCACACTGACTACCTCCCTTTATGACAAATGCCCCACTGGTAGAGCTAATAGTAAACATGCTGAATTACCTGATGTCTTTGAAGGTTGGGTACAGCTCACTCTCATAATTGTATCTTTTGGCAAAGAAATCTCGTATACATTTGACATCCCGGTCAAAATACCTGGAGACAAGACAGGAAAGTTTATCTAACTATGTATTTGAGTGTGTCTGGTGTGCTTTTCTACATGTGCAGTGCTCATCAGTCTGTCAGGGTATGAGTGTGTGTGCATGTGACTCACCACTCTGCGTTGAAGTGTGTGGTAGACACCATCTGGGGGAAGTCGATCATGGTCACGTGATCGTGGTCGTCCAGCATCAGGTTAAACTCATTGAAGTCGCCGTGGATCAGGCCATGATTGGCTAGCTTCACTATCAGCTCCATGATATCATTGTACATGGAAGACGGGTCTTCCAGCTCACACACCTGACAGCTGTCAATCATTCAGACCACAAACAGAACAGCCAATCAGAGGGCTAGAATCACACACGTGAAATGAGAGCGAGAGAGATAGACATAGACAAAGGTGTGTCAAGAGAAAAATTAGAGGAGGGGAGAAGTAGGTGTGTGAAGAGAAACAGAGAAGGGAGGGGAGAGAGAAAGATGGGCAGAGAAACAAAAAGAGTGTGTGTGTTTTACTAACAGTGGGTATCCATTGATGAGCTCCATAACAACAGCGTGTCTGTTATAGTCAATGGGCTTAGGGACAGGAAACCCTCGTTCGTACAGGGCCTGAGAGGAGAGACACAAAGCTGTCAGACACACAATGTCAACAGCATAGATATAAAGCAGTTGAATAACATTATCTATGGTCACCAGGACCTCACAGTACACCCTCACAGTAGGGTTGAGTCTTCTTTTCAGAAGAAGCAAGCCTCTGAACACTGCGTGTCGGTGCCAAGTACCTTCATGTAAGCGTACTCCTTCATGGCCGAGAGGCGTGAGAGGTAGAGCCAGGACATGTTCTTCCTGTGTTTGTGGTAGTCTCTCTTGATCTTCAGGTTCCTGAAGGAGGTCCTCCCCAGCCTGTGGAGCTTCAGAGCGTACTGCTCCCCCTCTGGACTGGCCACGATGTAGATATCTACAGGAGGAACACCACACAATATACAACCACTTACTTCTAGAGAAGACACCCGATTCAACTCAGAGACTCAAATCCAACTACATTACCTTTAAGTGTGAGTTGTGTGTGTGAGCTATGTTACCTGTGTGTGTATGTGTTATAGAGACAGAGTGGATGGTTAGTTCTTACCCGAGTGTGTGTGTGTTTTTGGTCAGTTCTTACCTGACTCTTTCCCCACACCCATCTGGTTCCCGACAGAAAGGAGTATTTCTCTAGAGCAGAACGTCTTCAAAGCAAGGTAGTCATAGCCCCCGTAGTTCAGACGGTAGCCATGTACCACTGGAGACAATACATAGACACACATCAATCACTGCAACAACACACTATTCACGTGGGGCCTGTAGATTCCTCCGTAATGCATATACTGTGGTGACAGAGACTCAGGTTGAGGAATGGAAATGTGTGGCAAACTGATTTCTGGGTGAACTACCCTTCCTGTTTAAACGAAGCATTGTAAGTGCTCTTACTCTTAGTACGCTCGTAGGCCACTATTTTGTGCTTGACGAGCTCTCTAAGGATCTTGTTGCAGCCCCCGTGACGCAGGCTGGCGATGGAGGATATGAGGCTGACTGGAACTACCTCATGGTTCTTCATCCCCATCTCAACCTGCAGGGAGCCTCAGTCACAGTTACAAACCAATATGATGAACAACACTTTAAGTAACGATTGATGGCCAGAGAGCTGCTTGAGTGGGGCACGGTGTACCATGTACAGTATAACGTTACATTATTACTGTCCCGACGGCTTAATTAAAATATAAAAACGGCAACAGGACATTTACTTACCGCTGTGAGGACACGGAAGTCATCTCTGGACAGATATCTCAAAACTACAACATTTAATTTGCCCATATTACCACTGTAATTGTTTCCAAACCCTTGAATATTGTGTTAATTTGCTGAGATCCTACACATTCTGTTGTAAACGCATGCGCAACCCGGAAGTAAAGGATAGAAGAAGACGTTACGTTCGTCTAATACTTCGACGTCAGGTCCCTCTAGTGTTTTATTTTTATTGTGCGTATATATATATATATTGTACAAAAACAAGGCGGACAGCTTTCAATATAATATATAATTTCCTATTTATATATTGTCATTCATGTTCGAATAAATGCAGTTACTCACCTGCAAATAAATTGTGAGAATGTGTTATATTGTTTCTATATCTCAGACAGGACTATCTGTTGGCGCTATAGACATGTCATTCTAGAATGGGTATAAAATCTACTGTCGCCTATGTTCATATATTTTATTTGCTTATCTATTCATTGAATATCTGTAGAACATTAGGCGACACGCACGTTTGCAACACGGTTGTTGTTTGTTGACAGAGTCAACCGTCAGGAGAGACTATAGAGACTGTCAAGAGAGACAAGCTTCCTAGCAACCTTCCCAGGTTGATTTACAATACACTTACCGCCGGTAGTTATAAATGGACCCAATAGTACCCTATGAAGTCAATCAGGCATTCAACAAAGGTAAGAAGCATTAGTAGGCTAAAATAGCTATGTAGCTCTCAATCTCAGTACTGTCAGTATCACACAATTAAACGAATAATCTCTATAACCACAGGGTTTTACAGAGTAATATATGTATTTACTATAATGGTAGCTAGTTAACCAGGCCTGTTGGCAATCATTCTCAAAGTTGGTCTTGCTACAACCTGAACTTCCTAGAAGTTTGAACAGGTAAACTTTCATAGTCTTTTTGCCACAGCATTCGTCGCTATCAACCGCCATCTAGTGCTTAAAGTCAGTAAGTGTAGCTAATCATCAAGTCTGTCTGTGGCACAAAGCACCACTGTTTCTTCAATCTCTGCATAAATATCAATATATCCTGGTCCTGGAAACCCAGGGTGTGCACTGCAGGCTTTGAATCTCACAGCAGTCTAGCTAGCATAGGCTATATCGATGAAGTTAGGGCAGTGGTGCTCATTAGACTTTTGATCGGCCCTAACTTCTCACTTAAAACAGTTTTTGTGTTTATTGTGATATCTCTCAATGGTGAATACATACAGTGAAACACTCAATGTTGAATTCAGAACACTGGGCTGTGAAAGAGTTTTCACTCGGCATTGACACACATTCCATTCTAAAATCACTTATTTGTGTGTGTGTGTGTGAGAGGGTGTTAAACTGAGATATTTACGGGCGGTGTTCTGTTGCCATGGCTGCGGGATTCTGAGCATTCCATGGGCAGGTAGGATCTAAATGGAGGCATTCCTGTGTGTTTGTGAGTGAGTGTGTGTGTGTGTGTGTGAGAGAGAGAGAGAGAGAAAGAAAGAAAGTGTGTGTGAGAGAGAGGTAGAATCTTATATTTTTATTTATTTAACCTTTATTTATCTAAACAGAGCTTGTGTGTGTGTTTACCTCACTACCCTACAGGCACATCTCTGTTCTCAGTTACACACACACACACACACACACACACACTGAGCTCTCAATCCCAGGCTGTGTTGACTTAGTGGAATTCCTCTGGTGGTTTATTTAACATTCTGCGGTTCAGCAAGTGGCTGTCCAAAAGTAGCCAGGCATGCACTGACTGTGTGTGTCTGTCTGTCTGTCTGTCTGTGAGTGAGTGTGTGTTTGTCTGTGTGTGTGTTTGTCTATGACTGTGTCTTTGCTTGTCTGTCTCTCTCTGTGTGTGTGTGTGTGTGTGTGTAAGTGAATGTGTGTGAGGGTGTGTGTTTATGTGTGTTAACATCCCAGCTGTGAGAACTTTTAATTCCAGTTTGAGTCAGGCCTTTAGGTAGCCTACAGTATTTAGTTTGCCTTCCTCTAGCTGTTGGCTGAAGACAGTATTTAGTTTGCCTTCCTCTAGCTGTTGGCTGAAGACAGTATTTAGTTTGCCTTCCTCTAGCTGTTAGCTGAAGACACACTTATCTGCAGTATTGTTTATGTAAGATCTACCTGATGTGGTGTTGTCTAGTTGTTGACTAGGTGTGTGTGTGTCTGTGAGAGTGTGCACTACTCTGCATCATACATGCTTGTCTGTGTTTATGAGTGCTCAGCACGGGTCTCCGCCTTAGTGTCGCTGACATGTGCTGGCTGTGTGACATGTCATGGCACACATGTGGTGTGTTGACAGCTTAGGTGTGTGTTGGCATATGTGATGGTAAGCAGCTTGTGTGTGTGCATGGCATGTTTGTGTGTGTGATGGATAGCTTCCACTGGTAGCTTATAGATAGAGTTTAAAAAACGTAATGGACTGATAGTCTCCTCCAGCTGCAGTACCATCTTTGTATCCTAGATGGCGCTGTAACACACCGTACCACACAGTACCAGGGGACTTTAGGCTTTGTTTTGGCTCATTGTCATCTCTGATGCTTTTTAGCATTTAGACAATGTGAGCTGGTTTTCATCAATCTGGTGTTCAGAGAGGGGAGCCATAGACATGAAGGGCTGCTTGATTAGAGGGAGAGCTCTACTTCATCTAACAGAGAGACATCCTGGAGCATCAGGAGGCCAACATTATAGAATAGGCTACTCATAGAAATGTATAGTTGATAAAAAACAAGGTCCCTTCAGCTCTATAAACTACATATCTATCTGTAACATTCTAAACACTTTACCCATATGAAAACACCCCTGGATAGATCCTAATTTAGGAACCATGTCCGAGGCTACTTGTCTAAACAAGGAATTATTAGGAAATCCCTCCCTCTAGACCCAGGCCAAGGCAGGCACATGACAGCACTCTGAGAGTTGAACTTCTAGATCTAATATTCTATCTGATTTTGATTGGATAATCCTGTCATACTGTAATTGAATTCAACAGGTTCAGGAGGAATCTCCACCATCTTGATGTTCACTACAAATCTGCCCTCAGACCAAAAAATATATTTTATGTGGTTGGTTATGCGTGTGTGTGTTTTGGTCCTCAGGGTCTTGTGGCCTGATAAAGCTGACTGAATGACAGATCGCTGGGCCTGTTATTATTGTTAACCTATACCAAACATAAGGAACACCTTCCTAATATTGAAGGTTTTGGTCCTCAGGGTCTTGTGGTCTGATAAAGCTGACTGAATGACAGATCGCTGGGCCTGTTATTATTGTTAACCTATACCAAACATAAGGTACACCTTCCTAATATTGAGTAGGCATTTAGAATGGGTGGCCATATTGCTTATATCCTCCAAACAAATATTGATTTGCAGACAGAGAAATGGCTGGTAAAAGTATTGGATTGCATAGAGAGTACTTTTCCATGTGCTAAAGGTGCTTTACCTTGTAAAGAGTACTTGTGTCATTCACTGCAGAAGTCTACAGAATGGTGTGTGTCAATGGTTGTACACTGGCGGTTCTCTGTGGCTGTGGAATGCAGTCTTGTGTGTGTTTTAGGGGGGCTGGTTACTTCTGTTAATCCTTCTTTAATCTGTCTCCTCCCCCATTCATCTACACTGATTGAAGTGGATTTAACAAGTGACATCAATAAGGGATCATAGCCTTCACCTGGATTCACCTGTTCAGTTTATCTAATGGAAAGAGCAGGTGTTCTTAATGTTTTGTACACTCAGTGTATAATGAAAGCCTACTAGTTCAGAGTCTGATGCCAAAACACTTGGGTGTGCTGTGTCTGACCAACTCTCTCGCTATCTCTCTCAGAACGATCTTCTTGATCCTAACCAGTCAAGCTTCCAGACGGGTCACTCAACCGAGACTGCTCTTCTCTGTCATGGAGGCTCACCGTACTGCCAAAGCTGACTCTCTCCTCTGTTCTCATCCTTCTAGATCTATCCGCTGCCTTCGACACCGTAAACCATCAGATCCTCCTCTCCATCCTCTCAGGGCTGGGCATCTCTGCACATTCTTGGATTGCATCCTACCTAGCAGGCCACTCCTACCAGGTGACGTGGAGAGGAACTGTGTCTGCACCACTTACTCTCACGACTGGTGTCCCCCAGGGCTCGGTTCTAGGCCTACTCTCTTCTCTCTATACACCAAGTCACTCAGCTCTGTCATATCCTCACATGATCTCTCCTATCATTGCTATGTGGAACTCAACTACTTTTCTCCTTCCCCGATTCTGACACCCAGGTGGCGACACACATCTCTGCGTGGCTGTCAGATATCTCAGCTTGGATGTCGGCCCACCACCTCAACCTCGACAAGACTGCGCGCTGCTCTTCCTCCTGGGGAAGGCCTGCCCGCTCAAAGACCTCTCCATCACGGTTGACAACTCCACAGTGTCCCCCTCCCAGAGTGCAAAGAACCTTGGTTTGAGCCACGTGACCCTGGACAACACCTTATCGTTCTCTGCAAACATCAAAGCAGTGACTCGCTCCTGCAGGTTCATGCTCTACAACATCCGTAGAGTACGACCCTACCTCACACAAGAAGCGGCGCAGGTCCTAATCCAGGCACTTGTCATCTCCCATCTGGGCTCCTGCAACTCGCTGTTGGCTGGACTCCCCACTTGTGTCATCAAACACCTGCAACTTGTCCAGAACACTGCAGCCCGCCTGATGTTCAATCTTCCCAAAATCTCCCATGTCACGCCACTCCTCCGCACACGACTCTGGCTTCCAGTCGAAGCTCGCATCCACTACAAGACAATGGAACTTGCCTATGGAGCAGCAAGAGGAACTGTCCCCTCCCTACCTTCAGGCTATGCTCAGACCCTGCACCCCAACCCGAGCACTCCGTCCTGCCACCTCTGGTCTCTTGGCCCTCCCACCCCTACGGGAGGGCAGCTCCCGCGCAGCCCAGTCCAAGCTTTTTTTGTTTGATTTATTAGGATCCCAATCAGCCGACGCCAATGGCGACATCTAGTCTTACTGGTGTCCGACACATAACGAAAAATACATTACAGACAAAATAATTTACAATTTACATACATTTCAAAACATTAAAATGTATTGTGTGTGCATCTATCAGTTACACATACATGTCAGTACATACACACAACAAGTAGGTCACATGGGGGGAGAGGCGTTG